GGGCTGAAGTTTTAGAAGCCTTCTAGCCAGTTGTTCCCCAGCTATAACATCTCCATGCAGTCGACATGCCGAAAGTAAACAGCCCAAAACAATTGGATCATCCCCAAATGGAAATCTAGACATGTAGTCTAAAGCTTCTTTCACCCTCCCAGCTCGTCCTAGTAAATCAACGAGGCAGCAGAAGTGCTCAATATCAGGTGTGATCTCATAAACTTGAGTCATGGAATTAAAGAAATATTGGCCCTCATTTGCAAGTCCTGAATGATTGCAAGCTATTAGAAGTCCAAGAAATGTAACAGAATCGGGCTTCAACCCCTCCCCCCTCATCTCCTCATACAATTCCATCGCCCTTCCTGCAAGCCCATGATTTGCAAATCCAGCAATAATGGTATTCCAAGAGACAAGATTATGGTACTTTGTTCGGTCAAAAACTGTGTACGCATAGCCAATGCAGCCACTCTTAGAATACATGTTCACAAGTGCATTAGCAACACCCAGATCCCACTCTGACCTCGTCCTAATTAAATGAGCATGAATCTCCATTCCATGACGCATGGAAGCCAGACCGGCAGCTGCAGAAAGCACACTCGCATAAGTAAAATCATCGGCCTTCACATTTGTGTCCATCAACATCTCCCCAAAAATACTTAAAGATTTAGATTCATCATCGCAATGACAACAAGCACTAAGAAGAGTATTCCACGAAATAACATCTCTCCCCCTAATCAGCCTAAACACCATTTCTGCTTCTTCAATAAGATGAAATTTTGAGTACATGGCAATCAAAGTGTTTCCAGTAAAATTCGTATAATCAAGCCCGAGCTTTACCATTTGACAATGTAATTGCATTCCAACTGACAAATCGTAAGTAGGTTCACTACCCCCCAGTAATCCTGCAAAAGTAAAACAATCTGGAACAAGACCCTGTCGACCCATGAGCTTAAATATCTCAAACCCTTTCTCTGCTCGCTCATTTTCCATAGCCCCAGTAATAGCTACATTATAAGAAACAAAACTCAAGAATCCAGAAATACTACAATCACTAAATATGGACAAGGCATTGCTACACATGCCACATTTCATGTACATCAAGATAAGTGAATTAACAGCAAAACAAACAAATTGATAACCTAATTTTACTACCTGTGCATGAATTTGCTGCCCAAGCTTTAATTCCTTAAGGGCAGCACAAGAACTAAGAGCACTGGCAAAAATAAAATCATTCGGCTTATGATACTTTTGCATTTGTAAATAAAGCTCAAGAGTAGAGTGGGATTTTCTGGCTTGGTCAGAACCCGATATCATGGCAGACCACGTAATCAAATTTTTATGGGACATTTCGTCGAACACTGAGTAGGCTGAATCAATGTGGCCACATTTTGCATAAAAATTGAGTATGTGATTGCCAATATAAACTTCTGATTGTATGCCTGCTTTGATTGCAGTAGCGTGAAGCGAAATTCCATGTCGAAAGCCCCTTGTTTTGGCGCAGTGGTGCAGAAGTGAAGCTACAGATTCCGCTAGCATTTACCAGAAAATATGTGGGCTAGGAATATTTATTGCGTTACACCAAAATGGGCTTTACTTGGGCTTGGACATAGACTATGGTAAAATATAATAAATGGGCTTTTATATCGGGTATCTACAAATGAGATAATATAAAAATTGGAAAAATTCTTAATCAAGAAGTTAAGTATCATCCATTTCAAAACTATAAAAAAATATTTCAAATTTCAAAAGTCAAATATTTATTAAAATGTATTTATGATTTAATTAATTAATTATATATTTTATTAATTAAGATCCCATTTGATTATTATTTTTATCAAAATATATTTTTCTCTATCTTCTTTCTAACCACACATTTTTTATTAAAATAATATTA